GGTGCGCCGCGAAAAGGAAGTCTCGAGTGCCGGTCCTGATGTCATGGATGAGAAGACCAAGGAGAAGAAGCTTGCTTCGTTGGCCGGGAAACTCCGAGTCGCTCGCGTGAACTTGAACTATACGATCTACTATCCATTGGATGAGAAGTATATCGCCTTGTACGCGGAGCAGAAGAAGAAGGTCAAGGGAGAGGGTGCTGAGGATGGTGGAGATGGCGCTGACTCGGACGGTGATGCGCGGTTTGGAATGGTGCATGCAACGGTTGCGGATAAGCCGGCGATGTGGCATGTGGTGGAAAAGTGTATGAAGGATGGGACGTTGGATATGTTGAGGGATGGGAAGTTGGAGTCTGGGGCGAAGGCTGGAGAGAAGGATCGGAAGAAGGAGGAGAGAAGTCAAAGGGGTGGTGAGAAGGCGAAGAAGAGCCAGGAGCGTGGGCTGTCGTCGTCGCAGGCTGGGAAGAGTAAGGACAGGTCCAGGAAGGTGGATGATAGGAGGAGGACTAGGGGATCGACTGCTGAGGATCATGTCATGCGGGATGCGGGCAATGATGATGGCGAGGAGAGTGATGGCGGTTTCTTTGAAATGTGAACTTGCCGTGTGTCTGGACTGGTTGAGCGTGAACGCATTTTCTGGAGTTGGAGTTACATGTCTTATCTGTCTCTTTCCTGGGCCTTTCTCATTGAAGTGTGCGGCTATGCCCTTATACGATACCCAATGATCAAGTGTTTTCAACGATCCGAGTTTCTACAGTAGAACGCTAGAGGCTAGATGCTAAGAACCAGTTCGAATCTAAATGATTGTTTGTGGATGTTTTCACCAACTCCGGCTTCGCCATCCTTCTAAGTACAGTAGATGAACGAGAAAATACACGTCGATCGGTGGCAGACCGACTCGCCAGAACACCCGAAAGATGCGCAGTGGTGACCCGGATTGTCAGGGCAGTCAACGCTCCCGATATCTCTGGGCCGACTAAGTGACTGGCACTTGTTGCGAAATCATCATGTCATATCTCATAGCATGCCCCAGTAGAGCGATGCTTGCAAACCCAGCATGCGATTCCAGCGGTCATCTACCCAACAGGGTGAGACGAACGTTGGTACATGAGGGGCAAGGTTTCCAGAACCTAGTAAATCAGAACATTGAAACGAGTGATCGCTCCAAACACACTTTCTCTCTCAAGATCGACCATTAGACGAGTAGTCATCTTACATGACACTGCAGCCTCCTGTGCCGCCGCCTTCGGTGTGTCGCCGTCTTCCTGCCCCGAGTGTAGTGACAGCCCCGACACCGAACGCTGCGTCTTCGTCGTCTTCGTTATAGATTCTCTCGGCTTCACGGGCTCGACGCCGTCTTCTTCTCACCCCGGATCCCGGAGCACCCGCTTCTTCGGTTGCCATCATGTACTCGGCCCACTTCCGATCTAGCCTGCTCGCAGCCATAAGATCACCACGGAGGACTCGCTTGTTGTGCTCATCCACGGTCGGCTGCCAGCCATAGAAGCACTTCAGATGGATGATTTCGTTGGGGTATACGGGTGGCGGCGGCGGAGGTGTGATAGAGGACGCAATCACGGTCGTGGGCTGACTGGGATCTACCGTGTGGGTGACAACCGAGACCGCTTGCATGGATTTGCGGGTAGCGCGCGGGAGGTACGCATTGCTTGAGAGGACTTCCCTTACACCGGCCCAGGTGACATTGGCGCAATCAAATACAACCAGACGGAGGCCGATCTTGGGAAGGTTCCCATCGTAGCCACGCTTGCGCACGCGGAAGCTGGCTTCCATTAGGGTCAGGTCGGACACCCGAGTGTTGTCCATTTCAACGGAACGGAGGGAAGGACAATTCTTCATGATCTGCAAGGTTCCAATGTCGCCAATGGTCTCACAATAACTGATGTTGAGGTGTTGCAGGCGGGCAGCACACGGGGACTTGGCAAGCTCGAGAAGCGTATGGTTGGAGAGCCTTTCCATATCCTCCAGGTCGAGGTGTGTCAGGCGAGGAGTGGTCCGAATCACCGCCATAACAGAATCGTCGGTGAGCTCAGAGCACTGTGACAGTTGCAGGCCTTCCAGATCCGGCACATTGTGGGCAAGACACTTGACACTGTCATCTGTCAATTCCGTGCACTGGTGGATGTCCAGATGTTTCAGTCGTCGCGGAGGAACAAGCGCGCGTTCCTCGAGAAGATCCATTTCAGGGTTGAGGCCATGCACAAGCGCCTTCAGACACTCGTCCGTAAGATCGGTGCGACTCATAATCAGGCGTTCCAGGGTATTTCGCTCGAATAGTTGTACGGCGAATTCCACGTCGTCAAACCCACGAATTTCACTCGCCCGGAGATCCTTTAGATTTTTGCAAGCGCTGACAATCTTCTTTAATCCCGCGGTGTGAACGCCGGTGCACCAGGATACATTCAAGATCTGAAGTTGAGGGCAGGACTGTGCGATAATCGTCATGGCAGAGTCACTAACAGACGATAAGCCAGACAAGTTGATATACTCCAGTCGGGGGTTGCACAAGAGAAAGCAGTTGATCGATTTAGTGTCAATGCGACATCCTTCCAACGAGAAGTTGACGACGTTTCGGCACAAGTCGGTGATGCGATTGCCATCAGTCTCCCACTTATCCTTCAATTGGACACAGCCCCGGAGATTAAGATCGCGAACGAACGGCCCACCGGCGGTAATAAGCTTTACAAGACCATCGCTAGGGATATCGCGGTAGTAGTCTGTCGTGTCGACTTCAGTCCACAACTGTCCATCATAACACATTTTATTCCATGCCCTCGAAACAGCAGAGCAACGGACAATCTCCTTCGGGGTGAGGTACTGAAAAATGCGCATCTTCAGCTCATCCGGCATATTCCCCCAGAAATCAAAGACTTTCTTTGGCTTGGGGGTCGACCGCGCCGTGGCAGTCGGATCAGCTGCGTCCATTCCCAACGGGGACCCACGAGAGCCTGGTCGCAGATCGGTAGGCAATGGAACTGTCCGCGCATTGGGCGAGTCGGAACCGACAAGGCGAATTCGAGGATTTCCATCATGGTCAACTGGGAATGCAGCAGCACCGGGAGTAATCGGACGGGCATTCAATCCACCATAAAGTTGAGAGGTGCTTCCATTACCCAGACAAGGAGTGTATGCGGATTGGGACAGGGAGACACAGGACAAAGAGGCCTTGTTGTCACGACGGTATCCCGTAGAATGGGACCGGCCCCGTCTGGTCAGACTCGGGCTGGACGAGATGCGCTGCAGGCTCTGGAGCAACTTGTGACGTCCCTTGAGTTTAGGCGGCTGTTCCAGAGGGATCTCCCCAGTTGAAGAAGCCGGGCTCGCCGGCGAGGCCGCTTCAGGCGAAGCCCTGATTTCATCAGGAAATGCGGCAGCCATGACGGAATTGCGGTATCGAGATCAGGAGGCTCCTATGATCACAAGTATTTCAACGGTATTTCGGAGAAGGCGGAGAGGTATGCGAAAGGTTTGTAGACAGTTGAACAGCTAGCCAGGACAATTCGTGGCAGCGACAAGCACGGGTGGTCGCAGTAAATCCAGTCCTAGACAGTCATAGTGAAGCCCAGACCACCAGACGTTCCGCAAGTATGATTCTCGAGATAGCGATAACCGCGATAACACTTTTATCGCCCTGATCGAAGCAAAAACGCCGAACCCCGATCCTGCGGACGGACAGGTTTTGTCGAGAGAGCGAAGAGGAAGCGAAATGGAGAGGATGAGGGTCAGCAGGGCAGCAGACAAACAAGCGACCAAGTTGGGGGAGTGTCTCGGCTAAGGAGTGTTAACGATGGTACCATGGGACAGGAGACCGCGTAACCCCGGAGAAGTGGCAGCGATTGCGGGTGGCCGGCACAGGCTTTGGATTTCCCTCCAAGTAGAAAAGAACACTGGGTTTCGTACAGACGTCACCGAAGCATCATCCACAGTGGTCAACACGAAAAGGTAAAAGGAAAGCAAGCAGTAAGGCAAGACGCAAACGGAAGACCCTGCAGGAGAGCGAACAGCGAAGATAGTAGTAGTTAATGGGAGAAGAAAGAAAGCAGGCAAGTAGGCAAGCAAGAAAGAAGACAGAAGGGGGGGAAGAAATCACGTAAGGCTGGCCAAGTCAGACGACAGCCAGTTATCGGACAGCAGGGCAATTCAGTCTGACGGATAGAGCCACCACTGCCACTAACACACACCAGGAGAAAAGAGAGAAACACCGAAACGAAGAAAAAGGCTCAGGGAGCGTGGAGACTCGATGGCCTGCATGGCCACCACAGAAACAATGGAGACGGACCGGGCGAGCTTACTGGATTGGACCATTCACAGCAGCCACAGTTCCCCATTCTGAGCAACACATAACCAGTCGGTGGGAAGAGGGACTTGCCGAACAATACCGTACCTGTCGGGGGATCGTTCAATAGTCCGTTCAATCCGTGAGACGTGAGTTGAGTCTACTTTTACTACTAGTAGTAACTGAGTTACCCCACAGGCTTATCGAGACATTCCATTCTCTCCTGCCAGAACTTATCGATTAGACTAGCGCTGTTTCTCATTCCCCACTTTGGCTCCCAGGCGGTGGCGGTGGTTCCCGGCGGAGTCAATTCAACACGCGGCATTTTATTTCTTTACCGTCTGTTCCGATCAGTTGATGGTCAATTTAAATTTGAACAATGGCTTCTGATTCATGTTTCAAAGGAAAGAAGATAAGAAATGGTGGTCTCATGGACATGCTCCCTCAGATCAGAAGTTCGAGTCAGCCGATCAATCGAGAAAAAGGTTCACCTGTCAAAAGATAAGGATGGCGGGAAAGGGCATCATTACTGTACGATCGGTATGCAAAACGACTGGGAAAGAATGGTAATATTGGTAACCATTATACTAGTAGTAGTTAGTACCTGGTGTTATAGACAGGCTTAGCTCTCTCTCTCTCTCTCTCTCTCTTTTCCTTGTTCCTTGTCTTGAAAATGCAGTTACCTGGAGACAGCATATCCTCTGATTCTGCCATGGATACTTATGCCAGGCAAAAAGACAAACGCCATCCCCATCTCACCATCTCAAAATCCCATAACATACATACAAACGCCTCTCCAGAAGAAACAAGTGGATAAAAAGAAAGATAATAGAAGGGAAAAAAAAGCCCCCCCAAAACCCAATCCCTGTCCACCTCCATTCTCTACCTCTCCTCTCTCTCTCCACTCCCACCAACAGAAAACACAACCCACTTTAAACCCACCAAGCAGAGCCCAGAACACCACTCCCCATGCCACGGTACACTTCAAAGCACCACAACACAGCACAAACGAACAAGGGCCCAAGCCCGACCCGACCGGAGCTCCGAATGGGCGGAAAACGGCTTTTTCGTTCCTGGTCGCTTTCCTCCCGGATTGTAGCCCAATGATAGTGCAATTCTGGTGTGTGTGGAGTGGTTGTGGCTAAGTCAGTAAGACACAAGTGATTGTTTGTTAGTTACAGAAAAAAAACAGTCGTGTTTTCTTGTCTCCACCCCACACTAAATCATCCAATTCAGTGCTAGCCTACTAGTTTACTAGTATCTACAGGATGGATGGATGGGGTATTGTGTTGCTGCCTACCTAGGTTGTAATCTATCTCGTTGTTGTTCGCCTCTCCGATACACAATTGTTGTGGTGGATAGTGGATAACGCCACCACTGCGACACACAGAGAAAGGGAGAGAGAGAGAGAACACTAGGTGAAGAAATCAATGTATTGAATAACCAACATATTGAACCAACGGAGTAGGTAAGGGGAAGATAGACTAGATACATGCAGTATAGATAGATTAGATAGATATAACTCTTTCTACACCGTACCCCGTACACTCTCACAGTAATCGAGGTATCGAATTTGTACCTGACTGACAGGTCAGACTCGCCGGCTAATACGCCCCAAACCAGTAAGGCACCCGGGTACCCATCCATCTACTACTACTACAGTAATACTAAATATCCACCCCTCACATCCTTGGGTTCATCCACTTTTGTCACATTCAAACTAATTGATGAGATTACTACTGGTTATGTGATAGGTAGTGTCATTTTGATCTGGGGGGCACACTTAGTTTTCTACTATTATATGAAGACAGCCTACTAACTTACGTTCTATTGTTTCTAGTTGGCTACTATTCTGCTGGGAAAAGACATTGAGATGAGTAACTAATTGATTAACTGACTGACTAGTAGTACCTCTTGGTGTGATCTCACAGTACATTACGGATCAACGCCGGAGTTTCTCAGGCGGCTGACGGCCACGGATTTCTCACTTGGTTACTTAGCTGGACTAGACTAACTACTAGTATAGTAGCTATGGCTAGACTATTACTATTACGAGCACTAGTCTTTGGCTTTTTCTTCCCCCGCTTCCACCCCCGCAGTTGGTAAGGTAAGCAAGCCCGGCGAGATCCTCGCGCCATGTGGAATACGCGTAAAGTGAACCAAACAAATGGTGACGGAGTAAGTGCATGAATTGGTCGTGTCTCTCTATTCGTGCCCGCTTAATCTAAACTGCAGACTGGCTCTTTGTGGCTTAAAAAAAAAGGTAAACACTCGGCGTGTCAAAGAAATAGGAAAAGAAAATAACACCACTGCTGAGGGTATATCGGATCTTTCATATGCATGTACTGCCAATTCTCACCACCCCCTGGGCCATGCATGGTATCAAAGATGGTCCAAGTAAATGCAAAAAAAAAAAGAAAAGAAAAAGAAAGAAGAAAAGAAAAAGAACATCATCTAACCAAAAGAGCATAACAAGATGACAATGGGGTATCTCAGCCTCCGTAAACCTCTATACAAATGACCCAGGGGCCTCTCGGTCTGTTCAGGCATTTTCGTTATCATCCGTTCCCAATGATTCCCGTCCCGTCTCGTGCCCCCAATCCACAAGTTCCCCCCCACGCTCCTATATGCCCTTGAACCGTTTCATCCTGCTCGACTCCATCCATTTTCATCATTTTCAATCATAAATTCCATTGCATCTGGAGTCATCGCATACGCTGCTCGTTATCACCATCTTCAACGTCACGGAAGTGAAAGCAAGATTGAGAAAAACCCATGTCTCTGCATAGGCGGGCGTGCGATGTCTGAAAAGCTGCACAATATCATCCAATGTATCATGCCATGGCGCATTTTATCTGCTTTGTCGTAGTACTCAACTGTCAATCATCCATGGATGCTCCAAAACTTCGCTGATCGTCAGTCGGTTGTCCACATCTCGGTCAAGCATCCTCCGGATAAGGTCGATGCAATCCTCCGAGAAGGGCAAGAACGGGACTCGAAGAGGGTGATCCAAAATTTCGTCAACATTGTAAAAGGGATTCTCTTTGTAGACGATGGTGTAGAGTAAGATACCAAGGGCCCAAATGTCTTGCTCCTTGCCTCGGTAGGATTTGCCCTGAAGTACCTCGGGTGCCGCGTAATCTTCAACAAGTCAGCTTCTAGAGATTTCAGTTGGAGAAATGAGGATATTTACCAATCGTGCCAACGAACACATCAAAGGGTCCATTCTTGATATAGGCGGCACTCCCAAAATCAATCAGCTTAATCCGACCTTCCCCGTCCAAAATGACGTTCTCGTCTTTGATGTCGCGATGCACGACCAAAGCCTTCGTATGGAGATGATGAATTGCGTCCACAACCTGCTTGAAGATGTTCTGGCATTCCGCCTCATCCATATTCGCCTTCAGCTCAATGTAATCGAAGAGATCCATTCCAGGTAGCCCGTGTGGCGTCATCTCGATGTAATAATTGATATCGTCCTCGAAAAATCCTTCCATTTCCACAATGTTGGGATGCTTCAGACCGTCGCGTCGGAGATAGTTCAGAACGTGGATTTCTAATGGTACCGTTCCTAGACGACGATCGCGGGTCCATGTATCGACAAGAATCCGTTTCTTCGTAACATACTTCAGAACGACTTTCTTGGTCGGAATCTTCTTCATGCGCGCAAGCTTCACTTCTCCGTAGGCTCCTTGACCCATCTCTTCGAGGATAATGTAATCGGCAATTGTTCGTTTTTGGGGCACCTCTTTGGTACCAGCCGGTCTTACTTCGGGCACAGGCTGGACTGGTTTGTCTGTTAGCGGTTGCGAAGCTGCTTCACTCAACTGCTGGCTTAAGGTAGAGGTCGGTATGTGCGTCTCTACCGATGTCCGCTCCGAGCCAATGGCATAAGGAGTAGAAGCCGTTGTGGAAGCCAGATTCGATGCAGAAATAGAGGACGGGCTTTCTGTCCGGGACGGCGGAGAAGGGAAGCCAGCCGCGGGAGCTGCCGAGTGGATATGTCTCGAATATGTCACCCAAAGTGCGTATACAAGCTCTGTGACAGCTTCAAACTCCGAGTCGCTGTGGTCTCCTGAATTGGGATCATCTCGTGCCTTGGGGAACATTGTACCGCTCTTGGCCACCCGCATCTGGACATCTACAGCAATCGAGGAGCCATCGCGATGCACGGCAGCAAGGCCAGATGGTTCTAGGAAGACCGAGGCCACATTGGATTTGCCATCGCGGAGAATAGAGAGGGTGCGCGCTCTCCGGAAGCTGGGTTCAGAGATCACCAGACCGTCAACCAGCGGTACACTCTCCTCCTCGGTGAGCACGTTCAGCAAGCCGTCGAAGCCAGGTATCAAATCATTAACGTGTAGGCCTTCAGGTCGCTCATGTCCAAACAGCGCGGACGAGAAGACGGAATTGGAGCTGACAATTTTCAAAGTCGAAGAGGAAAGCACCATCATACCTGCGACATGAGGAAAGCTCGATATTCGAAGGCATCTTGAGCTGTCGCCCTTGGTGATGGTGGACGGTATGCAGAATCCAGCTGATGTGCGAGAAGCGAAGTACTTCTTCTCGGTGATTTTGTTGAGACCTTGATCGATAGGAGATTCAAGGCAGTCTGGTGGAAGATTAGGAAGCAACTCCGTGATCCGTTCTCCAGTTTTCGCCGCACCCTGACCCCAGACTTTGTCAATATCGCCGGTGGCGTCAGCAATGTTCCAGGATTCATCGCAGCGAACGAACGCGACATTCTCCTGAATCTCCTCCATCACCCAAATCAAACCACCACGCTTTTCCATCACCCAGATGCTGGCAGAGCCTCTCTTGCCATCGCGCTTTTCAATGGGTACCACATCTCCGCACAGCAATACACCTCGGGACTTGGTTGCCGGGTGATTTAGCTGCCTTGCACTCGAGCCGTATCCGTCATCAGTCTGCGCCCTCCTCGGAGCCCTTGCTCGAGAAGGAGGCTTGCTGAGCAGCTGCGCTGTTACACCATTGCCCATTCCCATCGATTTCGGATTCACAGGCTTGACACGAGTCTTATCCGGCGAAGGTTGGGCCCTTACGGCAGCATCAGTGGTGGGGTCCCGCAGTTTCGACTCAACCCACTGTCTGCGGTCTTTCTGTACGACTTCGAGGATACTTAGCTTGCGGAGTTCCGCTTGTGTGACACCAAAGATGAGACACGAGATGTCATTCGCCGCCAAGATGGTCCATGGTTCATGCGACTCGGTCCTGAACACGGCTTGCGATGCGGGTGTCCACTTGCTGCTGTGGGTGTGTAGGACAGGAACCGGGAAACCATATCCTAGACTTGAGGTACTGGTGGGAGATAAGGGGTCCGTGGCGGTGAAGGGTGCTAGAGTTTCCATCAGCTTGCCCTGGGCAGTAATAGAGCCAGCCTCGGTATAAGTACGTTTTTTTATGCTTACGCGCCTGGGGTACGGCCTCGAGTCTGTCCTCAGCGGGGACGCTAGATCTTCTGATGCCTGGCCCGAGGAACGCAGGGCATCGGGCGGTCCCTGCTCCTGGACCAACTCCCTGAACTGGTTCGCGGAAAGCTGGGGTTCTGCAAATGCCCTTTCAAAGATATTGCCACTGTCCACATCAGCAGGTCCGGTCATAGGTCCGCGCGATAACCCAGCGTAGTTGTAGCGGTCATCCCTGCCCGAAACACTGGTTTTCGACAAGTAGTCCACCACGCTCTGGGTATCAGCATCTCCACCGAATCGAGCCTGAGCGCCAGCAAGCCCCGCACTGCTGCTGGTGGTCCAGCCGAAGCGGTCGCGCATGAAGTCTATTGACCTTTTCAGGATGTTATGCCGATTATTCAGTAGTTCCTCGGATTGTTGGGCAAAGGAAAACGAATGTAGCGATTCGCACGGGAAGCGGTGGAGATCTTCTAATGTGCCGAATTCTTCGGTCGATGGGAGGCGTGAGGGGTGGGCTCTGGTCGAAGAAGCGGAGCGTGGTGAAGGTGAATGGCTACGTGAGGTCATAGGTGCGAGCGATGAGGCAGACATGTTCGGAAGGGTAAAGACGCGTGATGGCTGTTGACGTATGCGATCTAGACCAGATGGGCCAAGTCCATGTTCAGGATCCAGCAGAGAAGACCTGCAGAAGAGCGATAGAAAAGTCCTTTTTAGTTCCTGTCTGCGTGGTTTGCGCAAATGCATATACGATCCTACTGCAAGGAGAACCCCACCCATCGGCCACGTACCTGGAAAGATGATCATAGCCCGAGGAGAGTGTGTCTGCGGAGTATTTCATCGAGTCCTCAGTGTGCCCAGAGAGGCGTCTCATAAAAGGGTCCGACTCGGGCGACGCGGAAAGGGGTCCCACGGGGGACGACAATGGGCTTGGTTCACCTGTATGGCAGGAGGTCGTTAGCTTCTGTTCTGCCAGCAGCATCCCTTTGCTCCCTCGCTAATTGTGATATCATCCGCTTCTCCTGCGCCCCTCCCGAATACACCCTTCAGCAA